ACAACTTCCGGAGTCATATGTAGAGCAGCAGAAACGGCGTCACGCTCAGTTGCTGAAATAAAAGTGACGGCGTTTCCAAATACTCTTTTTTTGTTGTGAGGCTACCTACGAATATGAAAAGAGATTTGTGAATTCCTTATAGAAATGTGCAGTCTATTATATTAAAAATTTAAAATATTTATTTATGTAATAATATTTGTTTCAAAAATCTAATTAATCTAATTAGGCTATTAGATTTGAGCTAAATTCCATTAGTTTTCATATATTAGGCATAGGATTTTTATCCAATATATTCTTCTTATATTTTTCATGTACTAGCTAGTGTATCAAGCCATCAGTGTTGTACACGATAATGTCACATAGTATATTTAACCTTCGACTTCGTGTAGACAAAGTTTTTTCTTTGTTTTTCTTCATTTCGGAATTGTCTACCGAATTTTCAGCAACAAATTTACTAAGGCGAAAGCCAGCTTCCGTTGTATTTGCGCAATCTCATCACTTGATTGTATGCTAATTCAAAGAGGTTTTTATATCGTTTCAAGAGCATATATGTCTACATATTTTGCAATAAAATATATAAATAAAAATTTTCCTCATTATTTGTGTCCATGCAGCGGTTCCAAATTAGTTTCGCGAAGTCTGTCAAGTCAAATAATACTATGCATTATGTTAATTGAAAACTTGTGATTCTTTAAATACAGGGTATCCCCAAGTCAATATAATTGTTAACTTGTTTAATGACTGTTTCAAAGATATGTACCCAAAAATTTCCAACAGTTTATAAATTGCATTGGTATGAATACCAGGGTTATGCAATGTACGTTTAGATTATGATTTCGTCATACTTGGCTAAATGTAGTTTTGTCTAATAATTGAGCAATTTGTCACAATGATTTAAATTTACTCTTTGTACTTCAAATGCGCGCGCAGCATTTGTGCTATTGACTGTTAATGGTTTGCAGAATAGCGTTGCCAGATAGGGGTAGATATCGACAGTTGCTCTTGTTGTATGAGCTGTCATTCTGCTATAAACACTGATTGCAGATTCACTTGAGTACAACAGCATGTTAGCAGTGTTCTAACAAAATTAACAGAATTGTGTTAAGTAGATACGGTTTATCATTTAATTTAATGAAGGAGAAGAAAGTAAAATTTAACAAATAATTAAAAGATAACCATTTATTAGATATTCTTGTAGCTTTGTAACTTATAAAGGTCAATTAAAAATGATTAAAGTACAAAAATTCACAGACATCAACGACGAGATTCCGGATTTTGTGTAGTTCTGCGATTGTTTATCAGCAAAAATAGAAAAAAAAAAGTTCGCGTTGGTTTATTTATAGTTGTACTTTTCGTTGACGTGGATACTTTTAGCAGTGTCAGCTAGCAATGAAGCCGCAAAAGATTAAATCAACAACGACCACGTCAACAACAACAGAATCTGTATATATTTTACAGCAAATTTGACTATTCGCAGTTTCATTAAAACATTTCGCAACTCGTTTTCAGATAAGCAGTAATGGTACATCGCATTTCTATACGCCGCTGCCGGGCTATCCGCCCGGGCCAGGACCAACGGGCAACGGGCCACCGCATTATCATATGGCGCCGCCACCGCCCCCGCAGCAGCAGCAGCAGACGGGCGCCCAACAGCAAGGCACGGCGACCGCTGGCGGAGCGCCGCCAACGTCACACTTACATTCCCCGCACTCGCCATCGCCGCCCAACTACAGAGATGAGCGCAGCCAGCGACAGCATACGAAGCTGCTGCGAAAGCTGGAGAAGCAGCGTGAGCTGAGTGAGTATTAATTACCGATTGCAAATATATGTATATTCAATTAATGGGATTCCCTTACTCTGTTGCTCTCTAGACTCCAGCATGTCCACGCCCACGCACTCGCCCTCTCCGCGTCGCAATGACATCAATGGGCATTACAACAACAACAGCGGCAACAACAACATTCCAGTAGCACAGCAACACCAGCACAACAACCACATGCATAGCCATGTGCGTGGACGCCACTTGGCGCTTCAGCAGCCGCAACCGGCGCTGCAGCAGCAGCGCAACGCTGTCATCGCTAGCACCGCAGCTGGACAGCAGTTGGCCGCACCCACGCGCAGCAGTGCGGGCGGTGCGAACTCAGTGGGCACGTCAGAGGATGGCGAGGACACGTCCAGTGTGGCCGCCGAGGATGAGGAGGACTACCAGGCCCAAATCGTCGAACAGATCTCGGCCATCGACAGGCCAGAGGTGATCGATGTGAGTTCGCGTGCCGCGAAGATCATTTGGGTGCCGCCAACCATAACGGATGCGCTGCTGGTGAACGTGCAGGATCTGCGCTACCAAGTGCTGCTCAGCGACACGGGCAAACAGTGCAAATACAAGAGCCTGTACCGGGGCGAGGCGTACGAGTGCATTGTGCAGGATCTGCAGCCGGGGCAGGAGTACTTGGTGCGGCTGCAGGTGCACTACCAGCAGCTGCAGGGCAGCGTTAGCGAACCCACCGAGTTCAAAACGCCAGCCTGTGAGCCCGACCAGCCGCTGCCCCCCAAGCTGGTGTCGCGCACCAGGAGCTCGATAAATCTGCGCTGGACGGCGCCGGCTGCCAACGGTGCGCCCATTCAATATTATCTGCTGGACTATGACGAGGGGCGTGGCAATGCGCTGCAGTTCACGGAGCTGGCCAAAACCAAGGCGAAGCACTACACGCTCAACAAGCTGCAGTCGACCACAGTCTATAGTTTTCGCCTGGCTGCCGTCAATGAGATCGGCCAGTCGGCCTACTCGCAGGTGAGCAGCTACAGCACAGCCGGCAATCCGCCCACAGCGCCGATGCCGCCGCAGCTGCAGGCCTGCACCGCCAGCTCGCTGCAGCTCGTCTGGGAGCGGCGATCACAGGACGGCGACTTTCTGCTGCAGCTGCAGGATGCTGAGTCCGGACACGGTTACCTGAACAGCTACAAGGGTGGCGAGACCCGTTACGAGTGCCTGCAACTGCGACGCGCCACCAACTATCAGTTCCGCTTGCGCACGGAGAATGATGCTGGTGTTTCGCCCTGGTCCGCGGAGGTTACCTACTGCACGGCAGCGGAGCGGCCCGGCCGGCCGGGCAAGCCGCATGCCAAGGGCAAGATACACGGCACACATTTCAAGGCGCGCTGGGAGCCGCCGTCAGACACCGGTGGCTCGGATATCCTGCGCTACCACCTGGAGCTCAGCGCGGGACCCAGCTTCGAGCGCATTTACACTGGCAGCGAAACGGAGGCGATGTGTGAGCGGCTGCAGCCGGGCACCACCTATCAGTTGCGTGTCTGCTGCGAGGGGCCTGCCGGGCAGAGTCCGTTCTCGGAGATCGGGCATGTGACCACAGAGGCAGTGCCGCCAGCCGCACCACCCCAGCCCCATTGCGATGCACCACCAACGCCTTACGCAGCGCTGTTGCGGCTCACCCAGCCGGAGAACAACGGCGGTGCGCCGGTTCTGGAATTTGAGGCGCAGCTACGTTGCCTCAATGCATCGGAGCCCTCGCAGCCACAAATCGTATATCGCGGCAAGCAAGACTACTTTGTGGCCCAGCAGCTGGCGCCGGGTGGCGTCTATGAGGCACAGGTGCGTGCCATCAATCGCATTGGCGCCGGAAGCTGGTCGCCGTGGCTGCGCTTCGAAGCGGCCGCCGCACCGCCCAGTGCGCCCACTGACCTGGAAGTTGTGGTCAAGTCGGCGACCCATCTGAGCGTCACCTGGAAACCGCCGGCGCAGCTGAACGGTGCGGCTGTCAGTGGCTATAGCCTGCAGAGCGCCAGCCAGCAGCTGGACGAGCCGCAGGCTGAGCCGCCCAGCACCCAGTTCCATGGCTGCTACCAGGGCCCCCAGACGCTAGTGGAGCTGCGCAATCTGACGCCCTATACACGGTATTACCTACGCGTGCTGGCCAGCAATGCGGCGGGCGCTGGGCCCGTAACGGATGCTGTGTGCGTATCGACGCCCGCCGCTGTGCCCGGCGCTCCGCAGATGTTGGGCTACGAGTTCACCTCGCAGGAAGTCACCTTGAACTGGACAACGCCGGCGTCCCATGGCGCCGACATCAGCAACTACAACATTGAATACGGCGAACGGACAATCGCTACACCGGACGCCTGTACGCGCTACACAGTGAGCGGCCTCACGCCCGAGACAAGCTACAAGTTCCGGGTGCAGGCGGTAAATGCGATAGGCAGTGGACTCTTCAGTACCTACGTCAAGCTAACGACGCAGCCGGCACCGCCAGCACCACCGCGGCTCGAGTGCAGCGGCTCTGGGCACAACTATCTGAAGCTCAAATGGGGCGACAGCGGCAAGACGGGCTCCGTTTCGACGCTCTCGTCCGGTGCACTCAGCGGCAGCAATGCGGACTTTACCAAGTACTATGTGGAGATGTATGTGGCCAGGGCGAAGCAATTCCAGACTGTCTACTCCGGCACGAACTGCATGTGCAAGATACACAAGCTGCAGGAGCGCAGCAGCTACACATTCCGCATCTATGCGCATACGGACCGGGCCGGGGACGGTGAGTACTCGGAGGAGTATGTGTTCGAGACGGGCGCCACGCTGCCGGCCAATATCAAGGCGCCGCGAGTGCTGCACGAGGGCGTCTGCCTGCTGGACCAGGCCGGCCAGCCGCTGGTGCAGCTCACTCTCGAGTGGCAGCACTCGAAGAACAGCTTCAGCGACCGTGTCGAGTATGAGCTGCAGTACGCCATCGTCGCCTCCGATGCGGACAGTTCCAGCTCGTCCAAGGCGCGCAGTGCTAGTGGCAACAGCAGCAGCGCCAACACCAACACCAGTGCAGCACCCGTGGCGCTAAGCAACCTGGATTACCGACAGCTGTACCGTGGACCAGAGACCAAGTTTACCATAGACAATCTTGTGCCGGGCACCTGCTACCAGTTTCGGGTGTGTCCGGTGCGTGTCACCAGCAGTGGCGAGTTGTTCCCGGGCCAGACGTCAGCGGCGCTGCGTTATCAAGTGCCCAAGGAGCTGGACGCCAGCACGGCACCCTGCCACCATCTGCACGGATCGGCAATGGTGCCCAGCCAGACGACGCAGCGGGCTAGCCGCAAGCAGTCGGAAACGAACAGCGTGCACATGCGTTCGGTAAGTGCCTCGGCGATTAGCGGCAATAGTGGAGTTGGAGCTGATGCCCAGGCGATTGGGCGATTGCAGCATGAGCTGGCTGCAGCCAACTTCAATGCTTGTGGCGATCCGCTGCATCATCATCACCATCATCATCATCACCACCATCAGCCGCATCAGGCGTGCCCCGGGGAGCCGGTGGGCTCGTCTGGTCTGGCTGGTCCAGCGGCGTCTACCTTGCAGCTGCGCGGCAACAGCAGCGGTGCTCATCATCTGCACCATCAGCATCATCTGCACCACTCACACCACATGCATCATTCGCACTTGCCGCATGCCACCGCTGGCGTCATGGGCTCCACAGCTAGCAGCAACGGCCACAGCAGCGGCAGCAGCAGCAGCAACTACATCTTGCCCCACGGCGGCATGATCAGACGCTTCGTCTCCAGGCTGATGGCGCTCTACTACAATAGAAAGCGGCTGACGGACCAACAGAAGGCCGTCTTCTTTGTGGTTTCATTTGTATTTGTGACCTTCCTAGTGGCGATGCTGGTGCACATGCTCTGTGGCTGATTTGGCGATCGATCGTCACACACAAAAAATCACGTGTCTCAAAAAAGTGATTGCAAATCACTCGCATTTGTTTTTTCTTATTATTATCATTATTATTATTATTATCATTTTTATATGTATATGAAATCGATTGTACATCTCCTAAATCTCTATATATATATATGTAAGAAGGCAACAGTAATCCCACACACTTCACAAACAATTCCTTAAACAACACCAACAATATTATATACAGTATATCTATACAATGAACATTCTTAAGAACTCTTTATTTACAAGTTCACATAGATTGTTATGTGACTAACTACATGTTTAATCGATTACATTCACACACACAAGCATATGTATACTACACACAAAAATCTCCATATGTGCTATAGCATTTTGTGCAACAACCAACTCTCAATGTACATACAACTAAACAAACAAACAAAAAGAAAAACAAAAACAACAAAAACAACTAAGCTTAACCTAGAAATTCTTACAACCTTTACAAGAGCCTCTTTTACTGTTTATACCGCATTGTTGTTGAACATGGATGTATGTGTATGTTAATGCACTATAAATATTTGAAACGAAAGTTATAAACAATGAATACCGAAAATTATGAATTTATTAGACTATGCTCTATCATGGTATATGAAACTGATAACAACCACTACTATATCTGTCTGTTTGCAAATGTATATGTAACTATATATATATATATATATATAAATATATATCTTTAAACTAACGAACTATGCAAATATATAAATAACTTTAGTGCTGTACAATTGTTATGGGGAGCCAAAAAAAAAAAAAAAAGAAAAGAAAGGAAAATACACAAAAAAATGATAAACTTGACGATGGATGCAAGTAGATCCATAGCCCATTCCGAACTGTTGAGATTCGAATGGCGAATTGAAACTATGTCCATTTCGAGCTAATTTAACAGCAGACGCTTTTTTCATTCTCTAAACTTTCCATGTGAATTATTATATATACACAATTTATTATTACAAAATCGAAAATTCATAGCGCGGCTATATAAATATATATATATATCGTAGCATACAATCCAATCCAATTATAACAGAGCTTACATGAATTATATCTCGTGTTAATGGCGGAACACATGTTGGTTCTTAACGATCCCTAAAGATGCTGCGGACATTATGCTGCAAAACCATGCTAGGCAAAAAAACAAAAAACAAAATAAATAAAGCTCGTTTCTATAAATACCCACAATACAAAACAAATATATAATTATATAAATATATACATAAATATATTTTTTACACAAAAATGAAGAAAAAAAAAAAAAATTAAAACATACGAATAAAAAATAAATAAATAAAAATTATTTAGAGCATACGATAAAAAATATTTGAAATTTATAGCCTAATGCAACGCAAAGTGATTTATATTCCAATTATTATTATTTTTTCTAATTAAATAAATTAATATAATCGTTTCTTTCCATAGTTTAATATGAAATTTAATGAATAATTACAAAATATATACTGAAGATATGTATGTTTACGTCGGTAAATGGTTACAATATATATACAGAATATAAATATATACATATATATTATATTAGCACTATATATTGTACTATTTGTCGATATATTTGTTTATTATACAGGCATATATATATACGTGTGTATGTATATCTATGCATGTATCTATATGTATATATACATATACATATATATGTAATGCATATTTATGATAATTATTTGCAAAGTATATACACATATATGTATATGTATATATATATAAATGTGTATGCATATGTTTCTATATATACATATATAAATATAATTATATATAAAATAAATGCGATATACAAAAAATTGTTATGATCTTTTTAATGTGAGATGGGCTCATGTAAAAATTTGCTGATTAATCTTATCAGATGATATCTTAACCAGCAGTAGTGGGACTGCCTGGGTATCAGATGCTCTAGGATATGATATCCTATTTGTGGGAATATGTCGGAAAGTTCATACCTTGATATATCAGATTCGTCTGAATATATGCGTATTTACATATTCAGCTTCTAAGTTATATTCAGTTATATTTTATTTGAATCGCTTCCAGTAAAACACATTTCGAATCCCATCTGTGAGTGAACTGTTGGCCCTCTAGATGGTGATCTATGTATGTACATGATACTTAACAGTTATACCTGAAAGTTCGAAACACATGAATACTTTATGAGATCATGATACAGCATACCAAATATATTCCAAATGAATGGTGTATGTTTTTTTTTTTTTTACTTCAGTTGAATAGACAGACGAACACACGCCTGGATACCAAGGATACTTGACTAAATCAAGTGAAGACATTCATTCATCAAGAGACCGAGTATAATATGAGACAGATGAGATTTAAAAATTATGTACTTTACGAAGGTTACTAATTGAAATAAATTGTTATTGAAATAAATTGTGAAATAAATTGTTATTTGCGTACTTAAAATGTTTTATTCATTATTACTTTTTATTGTTAACAGTTTTTCATTCTACCGTGTTTAGCTAAAGCAATTCACACTATAAACATAAATTTGCTTGTATTGTTTTTTACTCATCTTAAATAATATATAACATAAATCATCTGTTAGTTGGACGTTATCGTATTTTGTTTGATATGTATGTAAATTTTGTATTTGTATTCGTATTCGTATTTGTATATGTGTATATATTTATATGAAAATTAAATATAACATTTAAATCAACTAGATGTTCGTTTATCGCAGTTATAGTAATATCATTAATATTATTAGTATTTTCCTGCTATTCATTGTTTAATTAATTCGTTATTTCTGTTAGTTTTAGTTGCATTTAGTTATTAGTCTAAGTCTAGGGTTTTCGTGAATTCCAACATAGTAATACAATTCAAAATTACATTTGCATTTACCTAAAAACCATCTAAAAATTTGTAGTATTGTTTATAGCAACTACAAAATATATTATATACTTATAGGTATTTGAGGATATAGGCGCTAAAATCATTAACAGTTTTGCAATTCGTTTATTGTTGTTTGTTGAGTTTGGTTAAAATCGGTGTATAAAATATTGTGGTATTTGCTTTACTTGATATATTTGTATTTTTATATATTTATCTCACTTATGACATGAAAAACATTTCGTAGTCCTAAATCCAAGTACAATAATTTAATATGCTTCCAAAAACTTGTCACATAAATATGTGAATTATTTTATTTGCTTATCTTTTTTATTACTTGTTATGTATATAATAATAATTATTATTTTTTGGTTTATTATTATTATATAAATTTATAGTGATTTTTTTCGTATTTTATTCAACTATCTCTTAAGACAGATTTACCCTTTTCGCTTATGCTAAAATTTATTTCTAATGCTAAGGCAGCTTTTAACATAGATATGGGTTAGTTACATACATATGTGTGTGTATGTATATATATATTTATATAATAATATTTGGTATTGGTAGCATTTCAAATCCCATGGCTTGTCTGCACAAATCATATACATATATAATATATATGGTAGAAATGCAATTTTTTGTGAATGAATGAATTAGAATTGAGCAGACAAATTAGCAAAAACTTTTCGACCTTTTACTTAAGTTTTTGTTAATCTATTTTGTTTAGTTGATTTTTGTTCTGTAATGTAATTCAGAGATATTCAGCCAATGGTGCCCATGGTAGAGACACAGCTGCTGCTAATCAAGGGCTCACGCGAGTTGACAGACGTATTGGATGGATCGATGGATAGTGTGAACTCCGTGGAGGCCTCAACCGAATCATGTTGGCTTTGCGTTTGCTCGTGCCGTCGCGGCTTTACCATCTGAGCGGGATCCTTGTGTGGGCCGTTTACCTGAGCAGTAGCTGCTGGATAGCTGGACACACGTTTAAGCGTCTAAACGAATTCACAACAAAAAATTCAAATAATAATAATTGAGTAGCAATAATATTTAGAAGCTTACCTTATCAGTCAATAGCTCCGCCGCATTGGCAGCTGCAATTGATTCGTTCACGGGGCAAATGTTTTTGCTTGATGAGAATTTTTTGCGTTTGCGTTTCAGAGCAGCTATGGCAGTTAGACCTGGAACAGATATGGATGTGGTTTAGCTGTCTACTACTACTAAATGCAGGGCAAGGCTCACCTGTCGTCGTGTGAAAGAAGTGCGCGCCCACGCCCCCATGCGTGTGTGATGATGCGGCTGCTGGGGGCGGTGGCAGCGTTGACCCCAGAGCTGAGCCATCTCCGCCGTTCTGCCTGTAGTTAACTGTGCACTGGGCCGAGCCCTGGGCATAGCTCACGCGCACCTGGTCATGCACAGGTGTGGTGTCATGCGAGGAATTGCAGACGGAATCCTCCGACTTGGAGCGCCCCAGCATTTTGCTCATGTTGCCCACCTTGGCGGCTTCAATCAGTGTACCTATAAGATGGTTATAATAAGAGCTTAGATATACTATTTGATAGATTCCTTAGCTTACCCCAACGTTTCTTATGGCCTGCAATGCGTTTGTTGTACTTCAGCGTGGTCTTATTGTACTTTGGGGCAGCCGTGGCGGGTGTGGCTGCTGCCGGGCTCTGAGTGGGCGTGGTGGGTGACTCAGCGCCACCTATGCCGCCAGTGGTGTTCTGCCGTCTGTGTATGAAGTTGGGCGTGAAGAGTGTTGAGAGCGTCGAGCTAAGTATCTCGTGCTGATTATCATAATTATCCAGCGATGTGGAGAACTCGGCCACCGGGGCCAAGGAGCTCGTCGAGCCTGGCGGCGCAATATTAAAGCCTTTCATGAGCCGACGCTCCTTCTGGCGATTCTTCTTGCCACCGCCACCTGAATGTGACGTAGGAGTGTGAGATTGAGATTAGAGTGTGAGTCGAGTGAATGCAAGCGCAGCTTACCGCCACCTTGTCCTGCAGTCACGTTCGTGTCCATGCCGCTGTTCTTCAGTATCTCCACCAGCTCGCAGCGGAAAGCAGAGATGTCCTGCTTAATCTCGTTGACATCATCCTCCGTGACACCCTGAGACTCCGCCTTGCGCTGCTCCACGGTGACATAGCGACGCACCAGATTACGCATTATCTGCTGATACTTGAAGTCCCTGTCGCTGGCCTGCTGTGCCTTGCGCTAGCATAGGGATTTAGTTTTAGTTAGTCAGTCTAAGATATTATTATTTATGAATTTAGTCTCTATACTTACACGTATTGTCTTCAGGTGCTCGCGTCGCGCGGCCGAGGAGCCGCTGCAGAACACCTGACGCATCCATTTGCTGGCGTACCAAATGGACTTGGGTGTGGGAATTATATTGAACGGGGGCGGGCAAGTGCCGCCCTCCTCGAAGTAGCTGATCCATAATTTAGAGCGTGCAAATTTCCACTCCACATCAGCGCGTTCCTGGAGGTAACAGATTATATATTTGATAACAGATCTATTATTTTGTTTAGTTGCCCTACCGATATTAGCTGATACGAGTGGTTCATCATGGCTATCAAGAGATTGAGCAGCACTACGATGTTGATAACCGAGTAGGTGCCAAACATGAGCATGCCCCAGAAACGTGTAAAGATCTTGATGCCATCCAGCTCGAAGCTGTCCAGATCAATCAGCCCAAAGACGGCCCAAAATAGGGTTTGCGTGGTCTCAAAAAGACTAAGGAAGAAGTCCGTATTATAACATGTAATATATTTGAATGTGTAAAGGATATAGATATAGGATATATATATTACTCCTCCTAATTACCACCTTAAAGCAGCAGAAACTTACTTGGAGAAACGTCGCCAGACGATGCAGGCATTCGGATCATTGGTGCCATTCA